CAAGAGCCCCGGCTTGTCCTTAAGGGGGGGGGAAGAAGAAACACGCAAAGGTAGAAGGAGAAGAAAATCACCGAGAGCAAAGAGGAAAAGGAAAAGCAGAGATAGAAGGAAGGAGCTTGCCGTCATTCGTGCTGCTAAGTCTGCGGTAAAGACTGGACGAAAATCATGAAAAATCAGCTCAAACACCATGAGTCAATAGACGGAGACCTGAACAACCCATGGGAGGTGGACATGTTTATGCTGGTGGACAAAAATTGCCCACGCGCACCGCCACACTAACCAATGCGAGCCACTTTCTGCAAGGATAAGGGCGAGTGCTTCCATTATGTTGCCTTTGTTCACGTGGCTTCGGGATCTTACATTGCTGACATCTGCTTTGTTCAGGGTAAGGAGGGGTATGATATATTCAAAGAGATGGACCAAACCATCGTTTGGGGCCTGGAGCTGCGTAGTCTGTGGATTTTTTGCCACTCCATAGACTACAGATAACTGCCAGTAGACTGCATCGAAGTATAGGGAGCCGAAGCCCCCGACTGCTGCGGCCCCTGTGTTGGTGTAGGGCTGTTCGCCTTTGATGAGGGACAAAATTTGATCGTCACCGTCGAGAAGCCCGGCGGCTTCCTCAGCCAATACCTGAAAGAGGTCAGTCGTGACCTTGACCAAATCGGGTTGAAGCATCCAGTCAAAAATGTCTTTGGACCATTTCAAGGCTGGGGCGGGCGTTGGGCAAAACAACTTGGCATGCTCGTACGCCAACGAGAAAGAGCTGGCTATCATATGGGGCCATGGGAGAATCGGGGAGTGGCATCGAAATTGGCAGCCCATTTTTCTAGCTCGTACTTCTTGGCTAGGTGTACTCCTGCGGTACACCAGATATCTCGAAGGAGATCCATGAACCATGATACAATGTAAAAGGTTTGCAGTAGGATCGGGTCATCTAGGGGGCCATAACAATTGACGATATCCTCGGACTGGAGGTCCCAAGTGGGGTGGTTCCAAGGAAGCTTAGTTGGGCGAGGGAGGGGGAGGAGATCTGTTAAGGAGGGGTCCGTGAGGTGGGTCATCCAACATGCTGCCCATTGTCTGGGGGTGTAATCGTCTTCTTTAAGGCCTGCCAAGAGAGTATTCATGCCATCCACAAACTGATACGTAGCCGAACAGGAGGAGTCAACTATCTCCATTTCATAAAGAATGCGGTCAAGCTGTATCTTTGAAGTCCACGGAGCCTTTGCCCCACGTGAGGCTGCTACCTTTTCCGGAGGGCCTGGCCTTAGAACCCTTGCCTTTGGCAGCACCCTTTCCGAAATCACCAGAATTAACCCCATAATCCTGAAAAGCTTGCTGAGTAATTGAAAGGAGCCCGCCTGCACCTTGAAAGGGGAGCATCGGGTGGCTCTCCAGAAGCGTGGCTAGATCTCTACCAATCTTCATGGGGAAAATAGGGTAGGGGAAGCTATTGTGGTGAAACGCTACGTTCGAAACATCAAAGGCTTTGTCATAGGATGCTCTCGATGTGGTCGTCTTGTCAATGACTGCCCTGCGTAAGGCCTGTATCAACATCATCGTCTGCTGCATTCGTTTCGAAAAGGCCGTGTGCCAGCGATCCAAGATGGAGTCGTAATGCTTCTCACACAGCAAAAGGAGGCAGCAATACCGGCGAGGATATCTCGCATCCAGGACGTAGGCCACTTGCGCCAGCAGTGGCTGCTCGCTTGCTTGCTTTGAAGCCCAGATCTGAAGGGTTTGTCGCCAAACTTGCAGGTTGGACTCATCTTCTAATTCGCCCAGAATATCCAGAAGTGCGAAATAAGGCTGCATGGAGATACGGTCGTCCGTGGGAACATCCTGTTCCGCCCGCAGTCGGGCGTCGCTCTGGTCGGGAACCTTCCAATACTTCTTTGAGTTCCGCATGTAGTTCAGGAATGTCTGAGCCTTCTGCTCTGTCTGGAACTCAACGCGTACCATGGAGGCGCTGGAGCTCACGAGGTGGTTATGAAGGGCAGAGATATCCTCATATTCCAGACCAGCGCCAGAAACAAAATGCCAGATATTGGTGTCAAGGGTCCTCTTGCCTGTGAAGGGTGGCAACTCATGCAGGAGCACCGTCTTGTTAGCCCTGGACTTTTCCAAGCTCTGAATCTGCGCGGCGACGCGCTCATTTGTCATCTGCTGGTGGGTCGTCTCGGCGAGCACCTGTTCGTAGAAAATATTGCACTGCTCAAAAAGCTTCGACATATTTGGAAGGACGCTAACAGAATGGTACTTCATCATAGCTTCGTTCATGCGAGGGTCCAGCCCCTCTATGGAGGGTGTCGTCGTAGTAGTTGCCTCGAAGTCACGCTTGCGGCTCTGCGCCGCTTCTTCAGGAAAGCAGCCGGCTGCCGGGTCATATGCTTGAAGGTTGGAGCGCGCGTGTATGGCCAAAAAGTCTTCCCTGGCTCGCTCATTCAATCTCAGTGTGTCACGCAGCTCTGGAGACATCTCATCCCAGCTCAGATCGAGCTCGTTCAGCTTCAGCTTGAAAAGAGTCAGTTCTTCACCATCAATCTTTGGTTTTTTCGGGCTGCCGGGATTCCGGTCGCCCTTCTGCGCCTGCTGTTCTTTCCACTTCAAGAACTCCTGGTACTGAGCTGCGTCTAACTGTGGCTCGTCTTTTACCAATTGCTCCGCTGAGGGAGCTGCCTCGCCTGGGGCCTGTTCTTTGGCCGCCATGGCTTGCGACATAGCTCAAAGGAAAGGAGACATGCTTAGCTGAAGAACATCAGTCATCGAAGCAATGAGAACATAGCACGATTCGGGAACTGAAGTCTAGAAAGAATCTACAACTGCACGAAGGATAGCACCTCCAAGGTGACTGCCCACTTCGGGGCGGGGCTTTGAATGGTGGGAGGTCCACCACACCTCGTGCCAAAAGCCTTCCCTCATTCCCTCATTCCCTCATTCCCTCATTCCCTCATTCCCTCATTCCCTCATTCCCTCATTCCCTCATTCCCTCATTCCCTCATTCCCTCATTCCCTCATTCCCTCATTCCCTCATTCCCTCATTCCCTACTACGATTCAGTAGGAAAAGTTTCAAGAGCCTCCGCAAAGTCAGCGGTACCTTTGCGCCCAATGCAGATGATGCTACCATCAACCACTCCGATCCTTCCTCCCAATTGTCACCACTACACCTCTCGAAGAACAACCGATCCTTGAAGGTTTTAGTAAGGGGCTGCAGCTTCAGCCTTCCATAGTTCGCTATATTGTACTCTTCGACTTCGCTCTCACACGTGTCCGCACATACTTTTGCGCTCCCCACCGTCAACCTTCTGCATCCCATCAGACCTTTCAGAGTTGTTTGCTTCTTTAAGTGCAGACTCGCGCTGTCTCCTCAAATTCTGTTACTTCTCTTACTGCAGGCTTTCGCTAATACATTGTGCGAAATGACTGCCGCAATCGCAGAGCAAAGAATATTGAGGAAAGAATATTGAGGATACACCAGGTCTACCATGGCTTACATCACACACGTGTTATATCACCCAAGGGATGACAATGAGAATTCCTAAGCCCTTGATCATTCTATCTGATGTAATGGTGTTGCTACGGAGGCATCTGTCGTATCCGCAAGAAGACTATGAAAAGCTTGCAACACTCACAAGACAAGTAGGGAGCCCAACTCCTCAAGCCTTGCAGAAACTGACTACGTGCCGATCACGCAGCAAGGCTTTCAATACTGGATTGCTCATCGAGCACTTGCTTCAACACCGACCCTCCCCTCCCCCCTCCTCCCGCCCCTCATGCCCAGCTGTCCTGGCTCGGGTGGCTCCTGCAAGCAGGTTTGAGTTGCCATAGATGGCCAAGTGTTTATCCCGCGGCTGACATCGTTTGCGGCGAACTCTAGGACACCCCGAAACCCTGAGGCGCCTTTCGACCTTCGGAGTGCCCGGTGTGGCTTCGTCCGCCCAGCACTCCTTCATCCGAGCAGATGCTGACCCGCATTCTCAATGATTCCCGACAGCTTCTAAAAGCCGTAAAACTCTTCAAGTAAAACTCTTCAATGGGTTGCTGAAGGGCTTGGGGGGGCTTAGGCCAGGCGCAAGGCTTCGTGGCTCCTTTACAGCTGCACCCTCCACCGTGACATCCAGCGGGACAACACGCACGGGCATTACCTTGGCCAAGAACTGTGGGGATTGTTCTGCCTTTGGTCCCCTTGCCAGGTCCACTTGCACATAGCCGTTTGTGTCAGGATTCCTGAATAAAGATGGTCCCCCCCCCCCAACAAGAGTCCCGGACCCTATGAAATCCTATAAACGCTTAACCCACTATGAGACATTGGAGCCTTCGGACACTTGGGCCCGGACTGTTCAGAAACCGCACGGTCTGATGCATCCTCGGGTGGTGACGGCTATGCGCAATGCTTGAGGAAGCTTATGGGCAAAGCCCCGCTGGTTCTTCTGCTAGTGCATTTTTAGGCGCCCGTAAAAAAAAACCCAACTTTCCTCTTGTCCCCTCAGACAAACAAGATCTCTCTATCATTGCCAAGGGGCTGATTGGCGGCATGAGCCCCCCCAGCCATGAAAGGCGCAAGTGAGGGCGCATCTCCTACCTTTGTTCCATTTCAAGCGAAGGTCTGGAAGCTGGTGCACGGCTGGAGGGGCTGGTGCCCCAGAATGAAAAGTTGGACTTCGGGACCCAAATTGCGTGAATCTCGCGCATCTCTCATGATCTCTCTTATATGGATTCACATAGGTCCTCAACTGCCTCTGTGGAGTGGGGGATCTATAGAACTTCGGAACTGTCGCCTTTTTGCTGCACGGAACCTTTGGAGCCGAGCAGGCTGCGAGAGGCCAAGGTGATGGCGCTGCTCGTGAGCTGGGAATATACTAAATTGGGTGTGAGGCTTAAGGCGCGTGTTTAAGGGGAGCTTGGGGTTTGGCCCATGGGCTTTTAGGGTCTTGGAGGGCTTTCTTGAGCAGAAAGCAGTCATGTCGGAGCTGGCAGCTATGAAACGCAGAGCCGCCTCCTGCCATTGGTCCACAAGGGATGGAGACTTCGGCATCAGGGCCCCCTGAAGGAGCCTCAACAACACTGAACACTCAATGGACTCCTGGCACGTGGTGTATAAGTCGCTGTAAGTGCAGAGCCGAACACTCATCTCGACGGACCACGCGTCAGCCCGACGACCCGCATCGGTCTCGCCACAGGGTCTCTTAAGTCAGCGAATAGAGATGCTCACGGGCTTTCTTTGCGGCGAGGAGATGATGAGGAGTGTCTGATTGGGAGTTCTTGGCTTCCATGCAGATCATGCAGTGTGTTCTAGGAGGGAGAGTGCCAAGTAGTGCCAAGTTTGGGAAAAAAAAGCACCCTGAAGGTATCGGCAGCGTCCTTCGCATCACGCAGCCATGACACGTAGAGGTGGATGAGCCTCGGAGCATCGGTCCCACAAAGCAAGCCGTGAAGCCGCAGAACCCCCAGTACTGACATCTGCGGGCCGCGCCTCAGCGTCGGCCAGCCCGATCGGAGTGTCGCCTGGGGTCAGAAGATGTTGAGGTTGCTGGGAATGTACGTTAGTTCAGGTCAGGCTGCCTGAGACGAGCTCGGGATACCCAAGTACCCTGAAACCATCCCAGGTACTGCAGTGATCCAAGTACTCCTTCAGATGGCATACAACAAAGCAGAGGCCCCCTAAGCCCCTAAACCCATTGCCTCCAATCCAATTGGTCGACTTCCAGGCCTGCCGGCAACTCGCGCTCTGCTGGTGCTTTCGGATTTCGGGGCTTCTCATGGCTCTTTGTGGAGTGTGGCTGCCCAAAGGGGTCCATCTACCCCTGAAAGGGCCCAAGGGTTAAAGGGGCTTTAGGGTTTAGGGCTCAGGGTTGGGGATTTGAAGAGGGGGCTTCTGGAGTGTAGGGCCTTAGGGGTTGAAAACTTCGAAGTTCTGGGGCCTAAGGCTCTTGACTTCAGAGCTGGGGTTTGGGTGCTTTGGGGGTTGAAGGCTTTTGGGATTTGGAGTTTTGGGCTTGAGAACTTTCGGAGCTTGGGCGCGAGGGCTCTAGGACTTGCGCGAGTTGAGCCGATCTAAGACTTAGTGTGGGTTGAACTCGGATTTAGATGTTTTTTTTTTTGAGTCTGGGGGCAAACCTCGAAGCCCTAAACCCTAAACCTAAGCCTTTCTGATTGCGGACCACGCCTCCCCCGGAGCCCGAGGGCCACAAGAGCGTCGTCCTCAAGGGAAGCTGGGTCGCACAACCTCGGTGATCTCGTTTTTGGGATATGGGGCTTAGGGCTCTCAGGGCTCTCAGCATAGTACAGGAATTGTGGGGGCACTTCTCACCTACAGGGCTTCTGTTAGGTCACTTCTCGGCGGCGCCAGGAGTCGAAAGCCAAGGCCAAAGAACGCATCAGTGCAACCAGTCTAGTAAACCCTGAACCCCAAAACTCTGAAAACTTAAGCCCGGAAACACTGGAACCCTTGACCCGAACCCCGCAAGCCAAGAATCGCAACCCCAAGCCAAGGAACTATCCAATTCCACTCATCTCCACTTAACTTCCGAGACTCCCGACGCAGAAGCAGGAGAGGAGAGGCACAGGAGCAGACGCAGCGAAATGCTACCTACCTGCGGCTTCAGCAAGTAAACTTCTGTTCTTAAGGGGCTTCGTTCAAAAAAAAACTTCTCTATTCGGAGAAGTCTTTCAGCGAGCAGCCTCTGACGCGCAGTGCTCACACAGGTCGACAGTCTCACTCTTTTTCTCGGTCCATTCCATGGTTGCAGAACTGAGCCGCAAACAACACATCGGGAGGCTGGAAGATGATTGGCTACCTGTTCATGCTGATGTTCACTGCGCAATATCCGCTTTAGGGGTGTTTAAGAGAGGGAGTGGATCCCGAAAGTAACCCCGAAGTAACCCACGCACAGTAGTACTGGTAGTACCTGAATTCGCTCCCTAAACTCCCTTGAAGTGGAGGGCGCTTGGAGCCCTTGGCGGTCCCTTGACTGTGCAACGTCTGCGCCTGGCCTGGGCGATGCCAGGATCTTGCAGGAGTGCACCCACGGTCCCTTGCCTGCACCAGGCGGGGAATGTTAATTCCAAATGCTCCGCACATGGCGTGTCTGCAGTAAGCTCTTGAAGCACCTCAGAATGTGAGGCACACGGAGCGGGACGTCGAGCGGCAACTCATAAAGAACCTGAGAGCTGCGTTGACCTGGTTATCTCGTGTGGCACGCGTGGCAGAGCTAAGCCATATCATGAGCTTCTGACCTCCAGGTCTCTCCGAACACGCCTTCACTTGTGAGCTGGCATCGTGTGCACAACAACTGAGATAAATGGTGCTGCATATATGTCTGTATATGTATGTAGGATTGCAGCCGCGATGCAGCCAAGAGATCCCGAACTCGGAGCTCCGGCACGCCACGTCCTGTCACTTGTGTTGCGGCCGTGGCCACCCATGGCCACCCGTAGCCACCCGTAGCCACCCCGCAGCAACTTTAGGACTCTAGGGTGGATTCTGGGGTGGGCTCTGGGGTGGCTCTGTAAGGTCTAGGTAGGACGTTTAGGTCTCCTCAGAAGCATCTCCATGTGCATGCGGAGGCACGTCCTCCGAAGAGCATCATGCAGATGCAATGTAAAACAAATAAAAAAAACAAGTCCAAGCGAGGCAGGGCATCCAACGGAGACAGGCTAGAATGGACTTTGAGGTCTTTTGGGATGCTTGCGGCACACGGCAAGTGAGCTCGAGGGCTGTTGAGCTTCGTCAGGCTGCAACAAATGGCGCTCTGCGCACCACAACCAACGTGATGCATCTTTACGCAGACGCCTGGCCCCCGCAGCGTGGACCCAGCAGCAGGCCGATGATCACAAGCACCTTGGTTGCCCGGTAGGATCGGCTACCCCCTTTGGCGGCATCCCTACAATCCGCGTGAAGTCTTTGGGGTCCGAGCCCACAGTTTTGATGTATGATCATGCGCGATGGATGCAGTCACGTTTGTAAGAATCCATTCCAGAGGCAGTAGGATCGCAGTAAGATCCCAACGCAAGTCCATCGGAACATCTTCAGCAAAGGCCATGAGTGGCGTGGCAGATGCGCTTGCACAGCCAAATTTTGTACAGATTGGGATGCTTGGGAGAAACGCAGAAAGTTCCGATCATGGCATGCGGCTTGGTCATTCTGCGAAGGGACCTTGCAACAATTGGACTGCTCACCTTGACATAGCTTGGCCTTCACAACAGATGGTCCTCTACACCTCGCCCATGTTCATACACATCATGCACTCACGTGGAGGCTTGCGAATTCTTGCGAAGGTATATGTGAAGTCGGCGAGGAGCGCAGGCAAGGGCAGAGTCACATGCAAAAATTCCAAGAAGGCCAGTGCGAACTGAAAAGAAACAGATCACTGCATGTCAAGTGTCAGTTGTGTCAACTGAGGTTTGAGAATGTGGGCTCTGGGCTGACCTCTGGGCTGGCAGATTCCAGCTTCTCCAAAACCAGGCAGGTCATCTTGTTCACCTCGGGGGCATCTCCCCTTCAGACATTCAGACATGACCATGGCCCCTCTTTTGCCTTTTTTGCTGTCTCAGCTCCAAGCTGTCGGGTTCCAGAAGACTTCCCCGTCTCGCACGAGGAGCGGCAGCATACCCGGGATCTGGATATGAATGCGATGCGTGACCGATTCGACGACGCACGTAGGGCAAAAGCAGCAGACGTGGACAACGGGCATGCATGCGGCACACAGC